CTTAAGAAGTAAACATTAACCGATAACTTGCATCCCTAATTYATACARGAATTAAATWAATTTTTATCTACTCATATTTATGTAATTAAGTCTTTTAATTTGGGCRATTAATCGAAAAAATAAACGACAGATTAATCGATTATTAAAATACTYGTTAGTTGCAGTGCTAATGTTTAATGTATTTGATGAAGGTTGGAGGAGGACAACGAGGAGACGGAGGAGCTGGATCCAGATGGGAAGAGAGGAATTACTTACCAGGTACAGAGCGACAACGTTCACACAATACATTAGGAGTCAATTTGTGCTTAATAACAAATGTAAGAAATATTTATATAATGGAAAATATTCTTCTAAAATTTCACAGATTTACTTAATAAAGTGAAGCTTTTTTATCTACATTAATAAATCTGAATAAATTGTCATATTGGCTTGTACTTCATGGACGGATTTAAATTCAACAGTATTATTAAAGTACAACTGTTATTTAGTGAGAAAAGTCTCAGTAGTATTAGTTCAACATTATCTTTTAAGATTTAAAAGAAACTCTTCGCCTTTACTGTAAATAACAGCAACATTGAAAAGAATATCAATAAATAGTATTTTTAGCAGCCATGAAGTTGTTTTAATTTGACCAAATGTAATTTACTCCAATTTATAAAATGAATGGCTCATTTAGCATCACATGAAAGGAAAAAAAAAGCTTTAGAAAATTATGGAAAAGTGCTGATAAACACAAAGAAGTGGTACCATTCAACTGGTTTATAATCATTTTTATATCCATTCAAAATGAAAAAAACAAAACAGATTTTGACACTGGAATGCATGCTCTTGTTATGACACATTAGTTTTACAGTGAAGCTCAGTTGTTTCAATGCTGCCGTTTGCATTCCCTCCAACGCACATCGTTAGAGCAAGTGTACAAAAAGTGCATTTAACACTAATCAAATAATGTTTCTTATATTTCCACAGATGGCTAAAAACAAGGGGCTTACAGCAAAGAGGAAGAAAATCGATCGTAATCCCAGAGTCAAGCACAGAGAAAAGTACAGACGCGCTAAAATCCGCAGAAAGGGCCAGGTTTGTATTACACGCTTTGATTAAATCAAATTTCCTACAGTGTTGAAAGCTATCAGTCTCTGAAGACCGTCAGCACTTTACTTGGAATAACATGCATGTATGTCGAGTATTAAACTGATGTTTTTTATTCATCAGGTTCGAGAAGTTCGTCGGGAGGAGAAGAGATACAGCGGGGAGATGTCTGGTATTCGTGCTGGTGTCAAAAAGAGCATCAAACTTAAATAACCAGGAACGAGTTCATGACATGCTTTTAAAATATACTCTTGAAAAATATCAGTTGATTATAAACCTAAATGTTTATTATTATTGAAACTTTTATATAGCAGTGTACATCTTGAAATGCTTTTCTGATAATGTGAGTAAACGTTTTAAAATCTGTCAACTTGTGTGTTGATAGTACAGAAATGGCTTTATAACATTCAAAACTCATTTAAAGAAAACAGACAAAATAAAATATATCTTTGTAGTTAGTTACTTTGTAGCTTGTGTATCCAAAGAACAGAATACCAAAAGTTGACAAAACAGGCAAGTTTAAAATCAGATGAACTATCAGGCAAGTTGTTAATACGTAACTTCTGGGAGATCATTTCTGCGAACCATCCTGTTGAGTCATGAACTTTGTATGCGCAGACGTCAGGTTGCTCACTATCATCTCCTCGATCTCCACCTCGTTCCTCACGTCGTCCTCGGTGAGGATCAGCTCGGCCTGAGTTTCAGGGGTCACCACCACCACGTAGCCCCTTCTGGAGTCCAGAACATTGGCCACCACTGCCTGGTGCCTGTAAGTGTCCAGAGCCCGACGAGCCTTGTCCAGCAGGATGGAGGCGTCGGTCTCAAGCTTAAAGGATGTGACAAAAGCTTCAGGTGCCCAGTCCTTAACAAGGGGGGACAGAATCTTGGGGACCATCTTCATACTGAGCTGAAAAGACAAGAAAACTGGGATTTGGTGGAAATTTTCTAGTCAAATACTAGATGTTTATACACTTTCCTGAAGTTTGATTGCTGCTTGAAGTTCAAAATGGTCATTCATTCAAAATAATAAAATATCCTCCTTACAAAAAGATTTTCTGATGAGGAAAAAAAATGCAAATCTAAAACGGTCTAAATGACAAATGTTGACACGATAAATGTAAGCAGGGTTCCCACACCTTGGTCAACATCAAATTCAAGGACCTTTCAAGGACTTTCCAGTACCAATTTCYTCAAATTCATGAACCACGCATGATGGCAATTACCTGCTGCTACCACAGAATGTTACCAATGAACAGGTTTCATATCATGTAAATTCAATGAAAAACTGAACAACATAGATGTTTTTGAGTCAGAATCAATGTAAGAAAGTGRATTAAACATATACCCTACATTCATGTCCACAATACATGGACATGTAATTATGTCCTGGGAGGTTTGTCAGCTCAGTTTGGGAGGAGGGGATGTGAACAGGTTCAGATGCTCKGTGAGGACAGGAGGAGCTGTGGTGCTCTCACCTGGGCTCAGAAAGAATGACCCGCCCTACTCTGCTCTGATTGGGTAAAACTATGACTATGGCTCAAGTTATTTGTTGAAAGCCACATCAGTTTACCCTAATCCTGAGCTATCCACCACAACAAATTAAGTTTATTTTATTTTTTTTAAAAGATGATTTAAATGAGTCATGTGAATAGAGAACTTCAGTCCCCCCCAAAACATTCAAGGACAAGTGTAATTTTTGGCTGTTTTCATAAACTTTCCAGGGCCTTAAAATCATTTTTTTCAAATTCACAAACTTTCAAGGATTTCAAGGACCCATGGGGACCCTGTGTAAGATATGAGGGGCCTTTGCAACACCTGTGGAAGAATTGGTAGGTTTAGATCTCTTCAAGAAGAGGATGCAACTATTATGTGAAATTCCACATTTCTGTGACATGACACTCACTTGAAGGGGTCCGTCGGATGACTGGATTTTGTGTTCAGGCATCTCAGATGTCGGTATGTAGAAGTCCGATACAGCTGCAGCCAAGTAAAACATGGCCTTTGATCCTAAATGGAAACAGGTTTAAACTTGTGCTGAACTTAGCCATATCTTCAATCTGTAAATGATCAATAAGTACCTATTGAGCTGAGTGCCTGTGCTGCTGCTTTGAGTAAATGAAGGTACTCTGACAGCGTGTTGAACTCAATGGGCAGAAGAAGACTACCGTCTTTCACTTCCTGATACCGCTTCAGTACTTTTGCAATGTTGGGAAGCACCTGCTGGTTAACAACCACGTCACCAGGATTACCCCCCTTAAACTGCAGGGCATCCAGCATGTTAATGGTTAAAAACATGCGAGTGTACGGATAGAGAGAGCGATGCCTGTGTAAGAAAATGACAGCGTAGCCTGAGTCTAAGAAGTACTCTGCAGAGGAGGCTCCTCGTCTGCCGCTGCTGAAGTTGTCGAGGAAGCGAACCGTGCGGGACTCTAGAGGAACTTTGGTGCCTCCGGACGTGATGAGGACCACCCTTCGGCCCGCCTCTGCGTGGCACCTGGCAAAGGCAGCCATCTTCTCCTTGACCTCCTCGATGTGCGAGGGAGCAGCAAAGTCTTCAGCCAACTTGCCATCGATGGAAGATATTCTGGGCTCAGCCATCACCTGATGAGAGGAGAGATGATTCAGAACTGGCATCACAACCACAGATTCTGCATATCAACAAATTCCCATAAAGGTTAATGCAGTTAAATAAGTTCAGTCTGATTTGAAAAGTTTAGCTCATATTAAATCTGCATTCTAGATCATTTGTTTACTAGAGTAAAAGAAAAGGAAATGCACCTACTGTGACACAGGGGCGGAGCCATGGGGTGGCCAGGGGTGGCCATGGCCACCACAGACAAATCTTTGGCCACCCCATTGGCCACCCTGCTGTACACACCCCAACCACAGTGAAACAACATTTAGGGGTGTAATAATCCTCCTGAACAGTTGAAGGCAGTGTCTAACAGTTTGAAACATCACCAAGCTCTATCACTGAAGAAGAGYAATGACAAGGAAGTGACATTTTTTTTTAAAATAGAGAACATATGCCTATATAATCTGACTTATGGTGACAACTTTTGGACTTATGGTGACAAATGTTTTTTTATTCTTTATTTTATTTATTTATTTTTTTTATTTTTATTTTTTTCATTTTATGTTCTGAAGTCTGCATGATGCCCTGTTCTTTCTGGTTATAAGTAGGCCTATCACTAAAAAAGTGAAACACCCCTCTAAATTCACTATTGGTGGTTATCAATATTGCACCTGTTCATTGGGTAAAAATATTAGTTTTAAACAAGCAGTAGAGGGTCATAATTTGGCACAAAAACATGTGTTTCAATTAAAAATAAATCAATAAACAATATAAAAGTAAAAAGCACCCCTAAAGTAATTGGATATGATAAATTGTGTCACATTAATTAACCTTTTCTCAGCTGTGGCAGTGAGATTAAAAAACAGGATGATGGAACTAGTTTAATGAAGAATCTGTCTGTAAAATTATTATTAAATCAAGTGTTTATTTATGTAGGTAAAAGTATGTTTAACAACCTGGTAAAATACACCAGAATGCAGGAGATGGCATCTATTTCGTTCAAAATTTTCTGGGGGAGTACTCCCAGACCCCGCAGCAGTGTGTCCTGCCACTTTTTAAATGGTTCTGTGCCAACGTTTATAARGTAGTCACTGCCTATATGAGGACATAATGAAATKACCAAAACACAAATATATGCAGAAACTTTCAAGTAAAAAATTATGTAATTTTCTTGGTCACTGTGTGAGTAGTGGTCCCAGTCTGGCCACCCCTGTGTGAGTAGTGGTCCCAGTYTGGCCACCCCTGTGTGAGTAGTGGTCCCAGTCTGGCCACCCCTGAGATAAATGTCTGGCTCCGCCTCTCCTGTGACATTTTCTATAAATGTGAATAAGTAAGTACAATAAGACTATAAAAGCATTTGAACAACAATCGTGAAGCACTTCTTAATTATAATAAGAAGAGTCAAATGTGCAGAAAATCTACAATGAATACAAAACTAGGTGTTTCCTTGCCTACCTAAAACTAATTTGATAAACATAGCTAATTATGCATTTATGACGATTGTGGAGAGGTTTTTGTCAACTCTGACACATTTAAAGTTTTAAAGGTTTTCACTTTACCTGGTGTAGTAAAAAAAATCTGCAGCCGACTAATAGTATTTATTTTTTATGTCGCCACTTATTTGTCATTAAATTGTTGCTGCGTTAAGCAAATAACAAAACAATGATATACTCACTGACAAATGTGTAAAATGTCCTCTGGTTAAGGGTTTGTTGTCACTCTAACTTGAGCACTTCCTGAAAGCTTTGAGCCACGCGAGACTCTTCGGTCAGTGTAAATACAGAGGGACGCCGTCAGCGCCCCCAGTGGCACCAAACGGTACTGCAGGCAGGTTGAAGACCCTCTGTCATCTGAAGTACAAAGAAATTTAAAACAAAAGTATGAAACGTAAGATTCAAAAGAATAAAGGATGTGTTAGCTAATTATAAAAAAGTACTAGATGTTTTTTGTGGCAACAACAGGTACAAAAAAGTGGAGCTTTTCACATTGTAAGAAAAGGTCTTAAATATAAAGAAGACGGAATCATTTTTGTTATAAAAATGGTATTATTA